TTCCTTCCATCTTCCCAATACCTCTAACTCTCCATTTAATAACTCTCCCCTCCTATTTTTAACTGACAAATCCATTTGTTCTCTAGGCTTTCTTAACTTGTTAATCTCACTCCAAAACTTTTTCTTATTTTCAACAAAATTTGTTGATAACATCTCACCCACTCTCTCATTTGCTCTCTTTTTACATTGCTTCACCACTCTCTTAACTTCTCTCTTTTTCTCCATATACTCTTCCCTCCTTGCATCACTTCTACTTTGTAAAAACTTCTCATATGCTAACTTTTTCTCCCGTACTACTCTCTTTACATCATCATTCCACCAATCGCTCCTCTTCCCTCCTGCACCCACTTTCCTGTAACCACAAACTTCTGCTGAACACTCTAACACTACATTTTTAAACCTACCCCATACCTCTTCGACCCCATTGCCTATGCTCTCATTAGCCCATCTATCCTCCAATAGCTGTTTATATCTTACCCTAACTGCCTCCTCTTTTAGTTTATAAACCTTCACCTCTCTCTTCCCTGATGCTTCTATTCTCCTTGTATCCCATCTACCTTTTACTCTCAGTATAGCTACAACTAGAAAGTGATCTGATATATCTGTGGCCCCTCTATAAACATGTACATCCGAAGTCTACTCAACAGTCTTTTATCTACCAATACATAATCCAACAAACTACTGTCATTTCGCCCTACATCATATCGTGTATACTTATTATCCTCTTTTTCTTAAAATATGTATTACCTATAACTAAACCCCTTTCTATACAAAGTTCAATCAAAGGCTCCCATTATCATTTACACCTGGCAACCCCAAACTTACCTACCACACCCTCTCTAAAAGTTTCTCCTACTTTAGCATTCAAGTCCCCTACCACAATTACTCTCTCACTTGGTTCAAAGGCTCCTATACATTCACTTAACATCTCCCAAAATCTCTCTCTCTCCTCTGCATTCCTCTCTTCTCCAGGTGCATACACGCTTATTATGACCCACTTCTCGCATCCAAACCTTTACTTTAATCCACATAATTCTTGAATTTACACATTCATATTCTCTTTTCTCCTTCCATAACTGATCATTTAACATTACTGCTACCCCTTCCTTTGCTCTAACTCTCTCAGATACTCCAGATTTAATCCATTTATTTCCCCCCACTGAAACTCTCCTACCCCCTTCAGCTTTGTTTCGCTTAGGGCCAGGACATCCAACTTCTTTTCATTCATAACATCAGCAATCATCTGTTTCTTGTCATCCGCACTACATCCACGCACATTTAAGCAACCCAGTTTTTATAAAGTTTTTTCTTCTTCTCTTTTTTAGTAATTGTATACAGGAGAAGGGGTTACTAGCCCATTGCTCCCGGCATTTTAGTCGCCTCATACGACACGCATGGCTTACGGAGGAAAGATTCTTTTCCACTTCCCCATGGACAATAGAAGAAATAAAAAAGAACAAGAGCTATTTAGAAAAAAGAGAAAAACCTAGATGTATGTATATATATATATGCATGTGCGTGTCTGTGAAGTGTGACCAAAGTGTAAGTAGGAGTAGCAAGATATCCCTGTTATCTTAGCGTGTTTATGAGACAGAAAAAGAAACCAGCAATCCTACCATCATGCAAAACAGTTACAGGTTTTTGTTTCACAGTCATCTGGCAGGACGGTAGTACTTCCCTGGGTGGTTGCTGTCTACCAACCTACTACCTATTATTATTATTATTATTATTATTATTATTATTATTATTATTATTATTATTATTACTATTGTTATTATTAGCAATAGCAGAAATGTTCGATTCTTTGCTGTGTTCAAGAGTAAAAACATGATGTCACCGTCTAATACCTTTCCTAATAGCCATTCCAATATGCAGTCATGAATGGGTTTACATTATTTATTCTGTAGTTTAATAGCAAATAATGAACAAACAAAACACTCGCCACACTGAGTGGTGGGAGGGCTGGCTGCCAGTTGCGGGGGTCGGAGGGAGGGTAGTAGGGACTCGCAGTGGAGGCATTGGTGGAGGCAGTGATGGAGTCTGTGGTATTTAATAAAATACATGTTATTAACATACATGTTATTAAATAACATGTTATTAAAGCATAACATGTATATATTTAGTACAATTTACGATGTTTTGATGTATTTTATGATTATTCATGGTTCAACAAGTTAAGGAAGCAGTATTGTAATATATTTCCCTACAATACATTGGGGCACCAAACATTCACGGTTTTTCAACATTCGCGAGTCTCTTGATCCCCTAACCCTCGCGAATGTTGAGGGAGACCTGTATTGATCAGTGACCACAAAAGCACAGTAGTTTAAGAATTTTTCATATATGCTGAAAATATGTTTTTAAAAATTATTTCTTTGATTTTTTCAGCATATGGTTTTTAAGCCTTCTCCCCCCCCCCTCCCCACCGATTTGTCACATTTGTTTTTGACTCCATTTATGTTCGAGTACCACACACCGATTATTCTATCTCTTACTGCTTTCTGGGTATGCAGTTTCATTACTTCATGCTGAGGATACTGTATGAGACAATACTCTTCCCTGAACATCAGTTATACAAGTTATACCGTATTCTCTTCGAATGATGATGCTTTTTTCCGTTATACAATGTTCTCTTGGTAAATAGTAAAGACAACCTACATCAGCTCTTTTTTTTCTGCCTTGGCTGAAGAGGAAATTATCATCATGGGGAAGTGCTAAACCCATAGGGATTATACAGCACCTGTAAGGGAAGGGATGGAAGGCATTCAGGCTCAATTCAGAGAACTGGAGCACAGATCCAATTCCATAGATCAAGAGCCCCTCACCAGCATCAAGAAACTTTCCTTGATTGGCTGAAGAGGAAAGTCAACCACTTATTCAGGTACAGTGTGGTTATCTGGCTATGCCAGGGTGTAGGCTGAGGGAGGAGAAAGTTCACCTAACGTAAACGAGAACTCTTGTTCTCCTTTGTTCACTTTCCAATTACTGCCAAGCTTTAGGAGATAGTTCTTTGTGCACCAGAAGTAGGGCTCAATATTGTGCAAGCTGTACTGGCCCTATAAATCTCTAACAAAAAGTACTCTTCCATCATAGACCTGGATTACTGACTTTTACACTGGTCATGATGGTATGGGGGCATTTCAGTCTTGCACAAGTATTAGTGATAATTTTCCCCATCCTTTTTCGGATGATTGTCCTCATCTTATTCTGCATACTGTGCACATCAGAGGCTGGGGCACATTCATCAGCTCTATGGATATTCTACAGTTTTTGAGGGAAGCCAGTGATGCAGGCTTCCTGCTGTCCTGTTGCTTAAGCAAGGGAGCCTGCCTAACCTAATTGGAAACTTCTTATTCTTGTTATTTTCAGTTACAATGCCCAGATTTGGGAAATGGTTCTTCCCCAGACATTTAAAAGCATGGTTAAATATAGCATATGCTGTCAGTGGCCTTCTAAAATCCTTCCCCACAAGAAGTCCAGATTATTAGTATTATTATATTGTTATTACCCTGCAAAATTTTTATCATTATTTTTTAAAAGAAAGTACAGTGTACATGTACTAAACAAAGGCCCAGAACTAGGTGCCTGGAAGCAGAAGGCAGGACTGAAACTTAACATCAGACAGGAAGAGTTCAAAGGCACTCCTTTAGGAAACTAAGAGTAAACTGAAGGAAACTACTCTCTTGGAGGAAATGAAGACTGAAAAGGACTACAAGCCAAGCTCAAACTGATTACTAAGAGTGAAACTCAGAGTGCAAGACTTAAGAATGATGTCAGATCTTAAATTTAAGGATCATAGCAATGTTGTTATCACTACTACTAAGAAGAATGATGGACTGGATATCTAGAATATTCAACATAAGATATGCTGAACCAGTGATGATACTCCTCAAGTCGCTTGTTCTCTCTAGGCAGGAACACTGTTATATAGTAACAGCTCTCTTCAAGACAGGAAAAATTGCGGAACTAGAAAATGTACACAGAACTGTCACTCCCTATATACGTTCAGTCAAACATCTAAACTACTGGGAATGTTCAAATCCCTTATACTATACTCCTTGAAACATAGGTACATTATAATTTACACCTGGAAAATCCTGGAGGAACTGGTCCCAAACCTGCACACCAAAATCACTCAGTATGAAAGCAGAAGACTTGGCAATCTGTGAAAAGTATCTCCAGTAAAAAGCAGGGGCACAATGAGTACACTAAGAACTTGACGAGTGTCAAAGGTCCCCAACTTTTCAACACCCTCCCTTTGTGCATAAGGAGACTTGCCAGCAAACCTCTGGCTGTCCTCAAGAGGAAACTTGACAAATTCCTTACATCTGTTCCTGACCATTTGATTTGTGGTTTGTACACTGAACTGCATATAGCCAGCAGTAATAGCCTGGTTGATCACCCCTTGATCCACCAGGTGGCCTGGTCTGGGGCTGGGCTATGGTGGCATTGACCCCTGAAAACATCATTCAAGTATCCCTGAAATTTTTTTCCTATCAGATTATGAGACTAGATTGGATCAAGCTCCCTTCTTAGCAACAAAGGCATTTCCCCTTGAATTGAGTATAAAGTAGAACATGTACAAATATCACTTATACCTTTGATTAGGTTTGAGTCTTTCTACTCCCAGAGCCCGACCCTGGGCCAGGCAGCTTCAGTAGCAGCACCAAGAGGTGGTTTGAGAAGATGCAATCCCCTCAAAAATTCCTACAGCTCCCAAAGCCCCCAATAAAAATAGTAATCATAATGACACTGCTGCAAAACACATCTAGCCCCCCTTCCAATGAGACAGCCACTCTTGAGCCCCCCTCCCAGTATAGAAATTCTGGTGCTGCCCTTGGGTACCTTTAAAACTGGATTAGACAAACACAGTGTATGTATACACAAGTCAGTAAGTAAGACCTGTCAGGCATGAACCAGTAGTACTACTTTTTTCTTATGTTACATATTACCATGAAGCAAGTCTATTAATAATCAGGGCAGTATAATTAAACAAAGGATGCCAACAGGATAAGTGTATATTTACTGTTCATGGAATTACATCAAGTAATGCCTAACAATATACATTGTTAAACAGGGTTACAGCCATAGGGTACATAAACAAAGATATATTACTGTACTAAGGCTTTTAATATTATCACTGCATAAATGAGTGCATGTTATGGAAACCAAACTGTCAGACATGACACAATAAAATATTATTTTATGGATAAATCACATTTGAAAGCTGTTTGACTACAAAAATATCTTAAGTCACCCCACGTGTATTGAGTCACCCCTTTTTATTTTTGGCATTCAGCATTTTGAGATCAAACATTCACTCCTACACACTGATGTACATACAGTATCTAGTTGATTAACTTTGATAATAACATACCCATTTTCTTATTTGTATGTGAAATGAATGTGCTTGATAATTAATATTAGTACTAGGATTAGCCTTGAACTACCCATAAATGAGTATTCAGCTTCCATAAAAATGCACGTTTTCTTTTTGAAAATATTTCTTCCCAAGTAAAGAAAATGCTCTATTTTTTAATTAATGCTGGCAGTGACAAAATAATTTCTCACCCCCTTACAAAATGAAATAAAATTAATATGGTAGTGTACCCATTATCCCACCAAAATTATATGAATTAAAATTCAAGTGAATGTTTAAATAAGAAGCTTGAGCATTTTATAGTGGTGTATCCCAGCATTTAGTGCAAAGATGATACTAAAGTATCAATGAAAATGAATGAATGAGCCATATTTTCAGTACCTTCATTGTAGGTACAGTACATAACTGTACTATACCAGCCTGTAGGGCTGTCTAGTACAGTTAACCATTTGTTTATGTGGAACATGATGTTAAAATAATTCATGCCAACTATTGGTGAAAGATGAATAGAAAAATATTTGTTTTCCATGTGGTCATTCAACCTTTGAATAACAAGGCCAGATGTTTTGCAGAACCTCAAACACAGAATATTCACATAGGCCTTGTAACCAACAGCCTGTATTTATCAGCAAGTTGAGTTAATGATCACATATAGACCATAACATAAACATATTAAAGCTGGCCTGAACTTTCAAAGGTAAGCTAATGCTAAACTACTACACATAACATGTAGGATACAAAGCAATACTTAAATACAAAAGTGTACAAAATAAATACAAGGGAAATCTGTACAGCAAAACTATGGAGGCAAATACATTTCCATAGCATGAAATGCAAAATACTATATTAAATCAAAGTTCACGTGAACTTTTTATATTACATAATGAAATGCACTTATGGAGCATAAAATATTGCATGTTAACCAACAGCTGTTTAAAGTGACAATGAACTAGTGGACTTTTGATCTGCCACTTTATGTGGGGTCAACAATCATTTTATTTAAAATGATTATTTCAAGTAATGCACAGTATTACTAAAAGTACACAGAATTATATTGTTTGATTACTTATAACCCTAAAATCAAATTGTGTAATACAAGAAATTTACAATCTTTCAAATGATGAATGCATTAATATACATGTATTGTAATGATTTTTTATTCAATGCTGACTAATTAAAAATTTCAAAGCAAATCTGATGTTTCCATATTGGAAATACACATAAAATATAACATATAAGAATTTGCAATATGATTATATGTAATATATTGATTGGCTTCTGTTGCCTGTGGAAGCACTATAATGTGTTAAGTGTGAAGACTGCCAGAAGTAAGATGCTTTTTTTTTTTTTTTTTTTTTTTGGTGGACTTTATCCTAGTGATAATTCTCATGTTAGTTGACTTTACAAATGTATATACTTAAGAGGTCTACCATACAATCTGATTTTCAACTTGCTGACATTGATTACAGCTTTTTTTTTTTATCATGTCATTTCTTAATTCCCACTTACCCATGTGAAACTGGTTAGCTCAATAAAACTGTATTTTTCCTTAAACAGTATTTTATAAATGTGAACAGGATATAAATATTTCAACTGAACTAAAACAAATGAACACACACAACTGATCAAATGTTTTCATTAACATGAACAAATGGTGATCATAGAATTCTCATTAGTCATGAGCCTTATACAACCATTTAGCAAAAAAAAAAAAAAAACTAATACTGTATAAAATTATAAAAATGTGTGGACATGATCTTTTCCTAGCTTTCAGTGAACACTATAATATTGAAGAATTACCTGTCACTATTTTACAATGCTGAGACCGAGTTGTATTCGAGAGGTTTGTCAAGTAATATTTTGGCTAGCAGATTAGAGGAGTTTACCAGGGCAGAGATAGTAAAAGAAAAAAAAAATCAGCCCTGTTCAGATGGTTCTAGTAAGAGACTGAAAACCTACAGAGCCGTCAAGTCATGTATGTTGAAACATCTCTAGCTCCTCATGAATATTAAGCACCTACAAATCCAGGTTAATCATAATACTGAACCACTGTATTAATTTTTTAATCCCTAAAATTTTATCCACCATCAATATCATAGTAAGCTGTAATAGATCTTTAAGTGCCATTTATACTAAAGTCAAAATGTTACAGAGATGCAGCAACCTTTCCCCAAAACCATTGGCATAACCAGGATTTCAATTCAGGAGGGGCTTAAAAATCATATGACTGAAAAATTCAAAGAATTTTTAAAAACATGTTCTTTTCAGTAAGATTAAACTGTCATGCTTTTGTGGTCACTGGTCAAGGTAATACAGTGAAGATTAGCCATTAACTGGAAAAAATAAAGGAAAAGTATTTGCATCTTGGGGAGGCTTTAACCCCCCCTCCCCCAACTGTGCCACTGCTCAAACTGCCTAGTGAAATACTATCCAGTTGGTGAAGAAAATTAATAGAATTATGCTAAATTTTATCATAGTGGTGAGGGTAGAGACAAAGGTTGATTTCCATGGCCTCTATCATGGCATCAAGAGCTCAAGCTCACCCCTTGCAAGCTCAAACAGGTAAATATCCAAAAATATAATAGCAACTCCTGCACATGTCTGCCTCTTCAGGAGTTTTCATCTGGAGGCCACAGCCCACACCACTCTTTTATTTCAATCTGAATTAAACGATTACCCATGCCTCACTTGAATTTTAAAAGAAAATTACTGACAGCTAAAGAGTAATGGTGCTGACTGTACATTCACATTCTTGGAAAAACAATTCTGACATATTAATATAAATATTCTGTACACAAGAAAATAAAAATAAAATAATAATGATTTTGTAAACTTTCATCTACTCATGTAAACAAAAGTTCCAAATTAAAACTGGAATGGCTACCTCAGACAAGTATTGTACATAACAGAGACATGATCAAGCCATACCTTGGTATTAGTGGCAATTGCTTATTCAACACCTAAAAGGAACAAAGTATCACAGATACAAATATTTATTTATATCTTTGTCATGCTAGTTCTTGTGCATATTTCCCTCATCAAGTAAAAGAATCTTATGAATGCAGTTCACTCTTACATATAATGACTGAAAAAGTTACCAATGAGAAAGATGGCCATGAATGATAAAAAATTATGATGTATAAACACCTCAGTGTCCCCCTTACTCATATGTAACACATTACAGTAGTGTAATCTACAAAATTTACTAGGTACAGATTAAAGTGAAGACTACACTTAAAGAATAACTGTATATCAATATTCTGGTAATACCTATATCAAATACTTTAGCTGAAAGTTCTCATTTTCGTGTTCTGTAAGGACGAAACTATTATGTTGCAGTCATAAGTTGTATTATATAAAGACACACTAGCAAACACTAAGACATATTTATTAGACAACATTTCTGTCCTGGGCTTTGATCAAGATCCCTGGACCAAAACTTTTTCTAATAAACATATCCTAGCATTTGCTTGTGTCTTTTCAAATTGTTTGTTGGTATCAATTACAAAGGTTCATACCAAAATTATATCATATTAAAGGAACTCACTTAAATACTGTATTAATGTTTTTATCAAAATAATATATGTTTGTAATAACTTTACATGTAGAGTATAATAATAAGGTGTTTTTACTCGTCATTTATGTTATGTATTCTAAAGAGAAAACAAAATTTAACAATGCATTATATTGTAATAGAGCTTCCACATGCCAATTGTTTGTACTTATTAACTGAAATCCTTTCCTTTTTTTTTAAAAACCAACAAAGAGCACAACAAACAGAAAGCACCTCTCCATTTTTAATTACTGTAAATTAACATCTACAAAACTCAATATTATTTACTTCTGACAAAAAACAAATAATATACAGTATACCTCAAACGATAGCAACACACTTCTGAGAAATATATAATATTGGCAAAAGCATGGAGGATCAACTATGGCTAAACCTGTTAAGCACATTGTAAAGTGAATTAAAAATCCCTATTGCTTTCTTGCTGAGCTTGAGTGACTTCCTCTTCAATGCATAAGCATTATGAGGCAGTACATTAGTGTTGATAAGTGCATCCAACAAAAGTACACTTTTATATATTGGATACCAGCCAATAACTGTTCAATGACCAGTAATAAATGGTATAGTTATAGAGCTGTACATATTACATCACACACACTGTAAATGTTTACTTAAGTTTATATTGCTAAATCTGTACATGTGCAAGGTGAGGACACTTTTTACATTTGCACATGATAGTACAACAGCGAACTACACGACTAGTACAGGGCACCGCTATATACATATAGGATACAACAGCAATAAAACATACACAGACATGTTCATATGGCAGTTTGGGACCCTATGAAGAAAATTTCTTATCCATAAAATTTAGGAAAATTTAAAAAAGATTATTAAAAAAATAAATTGATGGTTACAGTATTTCCTTTAGCAACCAAAAAATTTAATTCACTAAAAGAATGTACAAAGAAATGTGTTAATTGGACAAATATCATTACTTATGAAGTCCTAATACACATCTGGTAGCTGTTAAAATAAACAGAGAACCTAAAGCAATCGATTATTTACCTGGATTCCAAGCTGCCATAACAACAGCCTTGCAGACTTTGGTGTGGGGGATTCCAATTCAGTCATCAAAACACTGCTCTGAGTACTGTTACTAACTTGGCACCAGGGACGGTAATGTGACATGGAACTTAAAAAAATTGTCTGAACAAGGCATTCACATAAATTTTTTTTAAAGGGTTTCTGATAAATTTCCATGTAAAAGGAATAGAAATGTACCAATATTTGTAACAAATTCACCAAACAGGTTGGGTGAACCTAATTTGGAAAATATAATAAACTTTTGAGGTTTGCTCTATTAAATTTACTTGCCAGCATTACAGTACTTGGACTTCACAATACACTGGCAGTTGAAGATGCCATTACTGTCACTGAACCTATTAAACTTGCATATAACACTCATTAGTCATTTTACCATTTGCTATTTCAAAATAGAATGTACTGTAAGAACTTCCTTGATTTTTCTGCAACATATATCACTGTATGTAGTATATCTACAACAAATCTCCGGTTCATCGTGTTGCCATGATAATCATTGTTATCTTATGATGGACCCTCTGCTTTCACTGATTTATCTCTTCTGCCTCATTTTCTTCTCAGAAGTAATTTTCCTGTAACAAGAATATATTATAACTAAAGTATAGAAAAGGATTACTCATGTTTTGTGTTAAACTAATGAAATCTAATGACTTAAAAAATTGGCATTATTAAAAGCAAATTCCTCACTGGGAAAAGTATGACATATACCAGTACATGCATCAGTAACAGGAATAAAAATGGTGTTTTCAAATTGCATGAAAGGTTTCTGTCATTGTAAAACTGATCATGTTACCCAGTAATATGAATGTTTCCAATTTCTTGTTCAACAGCATTTATAACTGAGGCTTCTAAAGAATTAAAAGCATTCTATAAAAGCTAAAGCCTAAATACGTATTACAATATATCCTCATTACATCTGCAATAATTCTTAGTCTATATAATAATAATAGGGGTTGCTGAGGTGGTTTGCTCATTTAGAGAGGATGGAGCAAAATAGGATGACCTGAAGGGTGTATAAATCTATAATGGAGAGGAGGAGGGGTAGGGGTTATCCTAGGAAAGAATGGAGGGAGGGGCTTGGACGCTCAGAAGGCATGTGTAAGTATGTTAGATAAGAGTGTATGAAGATAAATGTTTCTTGGGACCTGACGAGCTGTCGGAATGTGAGCAGGGTAATATTTTGTGAAGGAGGTTCAGGGAATCTGGTTAGCCAGACAAATGGCAAATGGCAAATGTAATACCTATTTACAAGTAAGGTACTTGAGGACGTAGCTCATGGTAATGAATATGATACTCTATATATGGACTTCAGTAAGGCTTTCAATAGAGTTCCACATCAGAGGCTATTGAGGAAACTTAAGGCACACAGAATAGGTGAAATTTTTTCCTGGGTAGAGGCATGGTTGACAAATAGGAAGCAGAGAATTTGCATAAACAGGGAGAAATCAGAATGCGGGTGCATCACAAGCGGTGTTCCACAAGATTCAGTGTTGGGCCCCTTGTTGTTCACAATTTACATAAACAACATAGATGAGGGAATAAATAGCGATATAAGCAAGTTTGCTGATGACACCAAAACAGACCGTCCAATTCATTCCAAAGAGTACATTAGAGCACTCCAGGATGGTTTGAACAGACTGATGCAATGGTCGGAGAAGTGGCAGATGCAGTTTAACATAGACAAATGAAAAATTCTAAATGCTGGACAGGAAAATAACCATGCCACATATAAACTAAATATTGTAGATCTTAATATTACTGATTGCAAAAAAAAATTAGGAATTCTGGTTAGCAGTAATCTGCAACCAAGACAACATTGCATAAGTGTTTGTAATAATGCTAACAGAATCCTTGGCTTCATATCAAGAAGTATAAATAACAGAAGTCCTCAGGTTGTTCTTCAACTCTATACAGGTCTCCCTCCACACTCACGAGGGTTAGGGATCAAGAACCTTGTGAATGTTGAAAAATCATAAATGTTTCATGCCCAAATATATTGTAGGGAAATATAATAATAGCATTTACTTAGCCTAACAGTACTGCTTCCTTAACCTATTGAACCATCATAAAACACAAGAAAACATCATAAAATATTGTACTAGTGCCAGCCCTTTGGTAGCAGGTTACCAAAGTGGAGGAGGAAGAGAGAGGGGAGAATATGCCTTCTTCAGTGATTCTACGATATGTATGATACTAAAGCAGCATGAGTTGATAAAGGCTATAGTGCCAGCCAGCGATAAAGTGTAGCAAGTAAGTTAAACGATTAATCGATAGAAAAAGGACAGCAACCTAACTCCTCCAATGTTGTTGGAGTTATATAGGGCAACTGACAACAATGCCATCTCTAATCTCTACTGCCTTTACCACCACTATGTAAGGTTTATGTCTCAGTGGCCCTTATACACCCAACACAACACTTGTGACATAATGACATATTTTATTCATTCTAGAGTATATGTCATGTTCCTATGTTATTAATTTTGTCATAATAGATGAATTGTGATAGATAAATAAGCCGTAGAGTTGATATTAGAGTCATATTGAAGGACTATCTTGTCCTATCTCCAAACAAACTCTGCCACTGCCACAATTCCTAACATTTGTAATGACATATTTTAAATATGACTGGGCAGCTGGGAATTTGCGAATGTTCGAAGCCTGCAAAAGTGAAAACGCGAATGTTGAGGGAGACCTGTATATCTTTGGTTAGGACTCATTTAGATTATGCTGCACAGTTCTGGTCACCGTATTACAGAATGGATATAAATGCACTGGAAAAGTACAAAGGAGGATGACAAAGTTGATCCCATGTATCAGAAATTTTCCCCATGAGGATAGACTGAGGGCTCTGAATCTGCACTCTCTAGAAAGGTGTAGAATTAGGGGGGATATGATTGAGGCGTATAAATGGAGAACAGGAATAACTGAAGGGGATGTAAATAGCACACTAAAAAATATCTAGCCAAAACAGGACTCGTAGCAATGGTTTCAAGTTGGAAAAATTCAGATTCAGGAAGGATATAGGAAAGCACTGGTTTGGTAAAAGAGTTGTGGATGAGTGGAACAAACTCCCAAGTATGGTCATAGAAGCTAAAATGCTGTATAGCTTTAAAAATAGGTTAGATTAATACACAAGTGGGTGTGGATGGGTGTGAGGTGGACCTGACTAGCTTGTGCTAGTGGGTCTGATGCCGTGTCCCTTCCTTAAGTGGATGTGACCTGACTAGGTGGGTCACTGATCTAAGCTGGGGGGTGACATGGACTTGCCTCGCATGGGCCAGTAGGCCTGCTGCAGTGTTCCTTCTTTCTTATGTTCTTATGAGTCCTGGAGGTGGGAAGTACAATGCCTGCACTTTAAAGGAGGGGCTTGGGATATTGGCTGTTTGGAGTGAAATCTGAACTGTCGTATCTGAGTGTCTCTGCAAAGACAGTGATTATGTGTGAATGATGGTGAATGTGTTTGTTTTCTTTTTTGGGTCACCCAGCCTCAATGGGAGACGGCCGATGTGTTAAAACAAAAAATAGGAGTCATAGTAGTAGTAGTTAGTAGTTTGTAGTAGTACATAATATAACTTCAATTCCATGTTTTTGCAGAGTGAACACACTATACAGCATCAGTAAGGAACTGCTGATAAATGTGTTGTTGATTAATATGACAATATCTGTCTATCCTGCCCATGAGATATGGATTTTGTGCATATTTCAAATACAGCATAATAACTGTTTATAATGAATTTAAAATTTTCTAAATGGTAAACATCTAAAATGTTTTAAAGTAGTGAGTGATGCAAAAAGATAGTACTTTGCATTAATATTTTTTGATAAAAATAAAAGGCATTAAATGAGTTGTACAAAATCATATCATCTACAAAAATAACGAAGTGGTATTAAGTTATAAGATGTCAAAAATAAAATTACTAAAGGCACCATGTGAAAACCAGGAATTTGGTACATATCCAAGTTATCTCCTTGGAGGATAATAAATATGAACTCCAATTGGGTACCTAACTCTTCATCACATTCTTTCAAAATTCAAGATATCTAATTCAACTACTAATTTTTTGCATGTATTTCATGTATTCTTTTCCAAAACGTCAGCCGTCTCCCACCAAGGCAGGGTGACCCAAAAAAAGCAAGAAACACTTTCACCATGATTCACACATAATCACTGTCATTGAAGAGGCACTCAGAAACGACAGTTTATATGTCACTCCAAACAGCCAATATCCCAAACCATTCCTTTAACCCTTTGACTGTTTTGGTCATATATAGGATACGTCTTACGAGCCAATGTGTTTGACGTATATACAGTGGACCCCCGCATACCGTTGGCCTTACATAACGTTAAATCCGCATACCGCTACATTTTATCGCCAAGATTTTGCCTCGCATACTGCTAAAAAACCCGCTCAACACTGTTCGTCTGAGACGCGTCTATGTGCGGCCTGAGCCACGCTCACATGTTCCGCCGGTGGCATTGTTTACCAGCCAGCCTCCGCGGTAACATCCAAGCATACAATCGGAACATTTCGTATTATTACAGTGTTTTTGGTGATTTTATCTGCAAAATAAGTGACCATGGGCCCAAAGAAAGCTTCTAGTGCCAACCCTACAGCAATAAGGGTGAGAATTACTATAGAGATGAAGAAAAAGATCATTGATAAGTATGAAAGTGGAGTGCGTGTCTCCGAGCTGGCCAGGTTGTATAATAAACCCCAATCAACCATCGCTACTATTGGTGGTACAGCTGCTGCTGCTGCTGCTGTACCACCGTCAGCTGCTGCTGCTGCTGTACCACCGTCAGCTGCTGCTGCTGCATCGTCTGCTGCTGCTGTAGCACTGTCAGCTGCTGCTGCTGTTGTACCACCGTCAGCTGCTGCTGCTGTTGTACCACCGTCAGCTGCTGCTGCTGTTGTACCACCGTCAGCTGCTGCTGCTGTTGTACCACCGTCAGCTGCTGCTGCTGTTGTACCATCTGCTGCTGCTGTAACATCGTCTGCTGCTGCTGTAGCATCGTCTGCTGCTGCTGTAGCATCATCTGCTGCTGCTGTAGCACTGTCAGCTGCTGCTGCTGCTGTTGTACCACCGTCAGCTGCTGCTGTAGCATCGTCTGCTGCTGCTGTAGCACTGTCAGCTGCTGCTGCTGCTGCTGTAGCACCGTTGTTGGTGTGGCTTATTGAGAATACCAAGAAACAATTAACCCCAGAGGATTTGCCACCCAGGATAACCCAAAAAAGTCAGTGTCGTCGAAGACTGTCTAACTTATTTCCATTGGGGTCCTTAATCTTGTCTCCCAGGATGCAACCCACACCAGTCGACTAACACCCAGTTGAACAGGGAAAAATGCCTGGAACTAGTGCTCATATTGGTGAATTTGAAGCCAGCAAAGGTTGGTTTGAGGGATTTAAGAATCGTAGTGGCATACACAGTGTGATAAGGCCTGTTCTGGAAGAAAATGCCAAACAGGACCTACAGTACTCAGGAGGAAAAGGCACTCCCAGGACACAGTGTCTCATCAGTCATTGCTGCATCTTCAATAAAGGTAAGTGTCATTTATTCTTCATTTAGTAGAGTAGTACATGCACAATATATATTGTGCATGTACTACTCTACTATTGTGCATGTATCCTTCTCTTTGTGTGTAGGAAAATGTATATTTCATGTGGTAAAATTTTTTTTTCATACTTTTGGGTGACTTGCACGGATTAATTTGATTTCCATTATTTCTTATGGGGAAAATTCATTCGCATAACAATGAGCTCTCTTGCACGGATTAATATCGCTATGCGGGGGTCCACTGTATACTCAAAAATTCTAGCGGCTTCAAATCAAGCGGGAGAAAGCTGGTAGTCCCACATCTGAGGGAATGGGTATGTGTGGTCAGTGTGCGCAGTATAAAAAAAAATCCTGCAGCAAGCAGTGCATAATGAGTAAAAAAAACTCCAACCGTGTTTTTGGATTAAAATGTCAACTTTGAAGTGTATTTTCATAAAGATTTTATGGTTATATTCTCGTTTTCGTAGTCACATTTGATAGAATGGAAAACATATAGAAATGGAGGTGATTTTGATTGGTTTTACTATGAAAAGGACCTTGAAATAGAGCTCAAAGTAAGGGAAATGTTTGATTTTTGCCGATGTTCAAGAGTAAACAAATGACGTCATTGTCCAATAAATGTCCAACTGGCCATTCTAATATGCAGTCATGAATGGGTTGACATTATTTATACAATTATTACAATATTGCGGTAGTCTACATAACAGTAAATCTTCTATTTTTTGTTTGAATAAAAATTCAAAATAGAAAGCAAGAGTAATATCAGAGGGGCCTGGAGACATGACTGATGAACAAAGAAAATGTTATCTTAGAGCCAGGAATGTCTGTATTGTTCATTCTGGACCCTATTTTGAAATTGGCATATTTTTTAATTTGCATGAAATTGGCCAAACTGCCAATTTCTGATCACTTTATTGGGTAGTTGAAATTGGTAAATGGGCAGTTTCTTGTACTCAATCAGTAGAACAAATGAAGTTCTAAAGAAATAGCTATGAGTTTGGTCGACTGGAACAATGGAATTAGCCGAAAATAGGGCTCAAGGTGGGCAAAATCGCTGATTCGTAAATATCGCTGAGGTCGCCAACTTCGCGAGAGCGTAATTCCGTAAGTTTCCATCAAATTTCATACTTTTGGTGTCATTACCATCGGGAAAAGATTCTCTATAATTTCATGAGATTTTTTTTTTTTTCTTTCCAAATATTTTGAGACACCATGAGACACCTCAGGATTTGGGGTTGTGACAGTCAAACGTCAAGTGCAGCCATAATGCTTCCCACCCCCAGGACTCAAGTCTGGCTAACCAGTTTCCCTGACTCCCTTCACAAAATGTTACCCTGCTCACACACCAACAGTTTGTCAGGTCCCAAAAACCATTCACCATTATCTAATACGCTCACACATGCCTGCTGCATGTCCAAGCCCCTTGCACACAAAACCTCTTTTACCCTCCCTCCCTCCATCCTTTCCTAGGATGACCCCTACTCCCTCCTCCCTTCCACTACAAATTTATACACTCTCCAAGTCATCTTATTTTGCTCCAAATGACCAAACCACCTCAACAACCCCTCTTCAGCCCTCTGAATAATACTTTTAGTAACTCCACACCTCCTCCTAATTTGCACACTACGAATTCTCTGCATAATATTTACACCACAGACTGCACTTAGACATGACATCTCCACTGCCTCCAGCCTCTTTCTCGCTGCAGCATTTACAACCAATGCTTCATGCCCACATAAGTGTGTTGGTACCACTATACTCTCATACATTTCCTTCTTTACCTCCATGGATAATGTTTGTCTCCATAGATACCTCAATGCACCACTCATCTCTTTTCCTTCATCAATTGTATGCTTAACCTCGTCCTTCATAAACCCATCCACTGACAAGTCTACTCCCAAATATCTGAGCACATTCACTTCTTCCATACTCCCTCCCTCCAATGTGATATCCAATTTTTCTTTATCTAACTCATTCAATACCTTCATCATCTTACTCTTATCTATGTTCACTTTCAACTTTCTTCCTTTACAGTATAGTATTTAATTATATTATCAATATTAAGCTATTTTATCTAAAATATACAATATTAACGCACCATTGATATAAATATCTGCTACTAAGAGGTCAGCTTAAGGGATACTACAGTACACGGAGAGAGAGAGAGAGAGAGAGAGAGTTTTTTTTTTGACAAGTTGCACTTCCATTTTGTGACAGCTGGCATCTTCAGTTGTATCCTTGGTACCATGGTACAGGGTCACCACAATCTGTTTTCATCTTTCTGCAAAAAAAGGAAGATAAATAAGTTTTTGACAAGATTGGAATTGAACTCTTGAAAATACAGCAAATAAGAATGTGTATTCCAGAAAGAAAAATTTCCCCTTGTAGTTGTCAATGTACAGTAATAAGAAACATTAGAGACTTTTTCCTGACAGTGATTTTTTTTAACACAAAAGCTGACTACAGACTATTTACAGAATTTACTTATGAGCATTCTGTAAGCTAATTACTTCTGAATAAACTGATGGTAAAATATTTACACTAAACATTAACAATAAATTATATATTGTATTTAGGATAATCCAACAGCCCAGACACAGACATAAATGAAACTGATGTGAAACACAATTCACACAATCACTGTCTCAATGTACTCAATATGCATAATTTACATGAAAAGAAGTGGTAATGAAAGTGAATATAATATGTTACAATATCTACTTGTAATATTCATTGTTTTAGTAACAAGAATCAAATGAAGATGCCCTGATGCCAGTGAAGGGCTTTTGAACCAAGGAATTGGGACTATCCTCCACATTCTCTTAATCCCAAGGTGCTGTATGATTCTTATAGGTTTGGAGCTTCCCCATAAATATAATACTACACAAGAAATTATAGAAGTTACATACGGTCATAGTGGAGTTTCTTTCTTGAGTGGGAGACCATTAGGTCTGGCTGGTGGTGGTCTTGGGCGGCCACTTAGACCATTCCGTAGAAGATGAGCAGCCTTGGCATGAGCAGCTTTAAGGCTTGGGTTGGTCACAATACCATTGCGACGAGGGCGTGGCTCAGGAGATCGAGTCCCCAGGATAATGCGCATATGTTGGTCTTGTGTAAATGTAAAGCCAGAAGAGCTCGGGGATCCAGCTCCCTGCACTCCTGGGACACTGACACCCATGCTTGGTATGTTACCCATGCCTGGCACAGCAGCCCCTCCCCCGCTGCTTATAACTCCGCCGCCACGACGACCTATCTGAAATTTCAGATATAACTGCTGATAATTATAAAGAAAGCCTTTACAGTAACATTACAATACCCTACAAGCCTTTTAAAATATGCAAAGCTTAATCATTTACCCTTCTGCCATACTCTTATTAAAGTTTCTTGCCATATCTTTCAGATCTACCACTTCACCAGAGGTAGTTCTCACCACATAAAACATTCTCATCCAGTAATCCCTTTATTATTGTTATATGGGGCATGGTGAATCACCAATAATCTAAAAGCACTGTCCTCTTCTAAATTACAGACATATTTACACACTACATGCAATCTAGGCTCTAGATGTAGATCACCTAGGAATTAATGGCAGTACTGAGGTGCTGAAACCTGGAGTAAATACTTAATAGCTTTGCTCACAACCCAATAGGACATCAAGCCATGAAAGCCACTTGTTTCCACTCCCTCTTGCTGGAAGAAACTACCATATAAAACCTTCTTTACCCCATCCTTCCAGCCTTTTCTGTGATGACTCCTACTCCTCTTTCCTTCCAACATGAACTCTACACTTCTTGGTTATCCTGTTCTGCTCCATCTTCTTTAAATGCCCAAAACATAACTACTACTCCTATGCCTGCCCTCTAAACTACATAGATCTTTCATAACCCCCATGCTGTATTATTCTAATTTCTATATGAATTTTCTGCATTATATTCTTACCACACACTGCTCCCAAATAAGACATCTTCACTGCCTCTAGCCACTTACTTGCTGTAATATTTAAAGCTCATGTCTCACATCCATATAAAAATGTTGGTACCAATATACTATGGAACACTTCCCTATTTACCTCCATAGATAAACTTTTCTTTCCACAGGAGCCTTACTACCCATTTACTTTTTTCCATTCATCTATTCTATGATTCACCAAGTTTTTCATTCCCAAAATATCAAAATATATTTATTTTTGCCATACTCCCTCCCTCCAATCTGATAACTAATCTAATAGTTAACTAGATATTTTGTAACTCTCATCACCTTACTTTTTTTCTACATTTCCTTTTAAATTCCTTCTTTTACTTAATGAGCCGCAGGGGTGTTGACTCCCGAAACCCTCTCCAAGTAAACTCGGGTAAAAACCTCCCATACTTGTCCACCACCTTTTACAACCTTTCTTCAGAATTTCCCAAAAGAAGTGTCATGGGCAATGAGTAACTGTGACATTACCCACTTTGTATCAGACTTATTATCCTTTAATCTCACACATCTTCCCAATAATTTAGCATGCACTTAAATTACAACTCCATCATGGTGACCTCACACATCCCTTCCAAAGCCTGCTTTGGACAATAGTTTCCTTCTTTCTTACACACCATTACTTAAGTCTCACTCTCCATAAAACTCTTTATTGCATTTCATCACTTATTTCCTGTAGCGTTCTTCACTACAGCACTTTATTTTCTATTCATTATGAGTACTGTATATCTGTACTATAACCACAAGTTTCACATATTTAATAATTAAATTTAAAGCTGGAAACTAAAATGAAAATCTACATTTCAAACACTTACTTTTCAAGGGAGGTGCCTTGCTAATGGTAAAAGGATTTTGATTCAAGAATTTGGGATATTCTCCCCTTCACTGGATCAAACTATTACCTCCAAGTCCCAAACTAATGTATGACACCAATGGGTTTAGCACTTGCCTATGAATATTACAATTACTTTGAAGCTTAGATATAGTAGCAATATGAGTGAACATACCTCTGGTGTAATGTTAACAGGAGGAGCGGATGGTCTTGGTGCCCGACCTGCAGGGTGCTGAATTGGAACAGTATAATCATCTTCTAAAATAGCTGCAGCTGGCATGTGCCGTCCTCCACCAGGACCATCACTTAGTGGTGACAGTGGTGGAGAGGCATAAATTGGTGAAGCTGGTTCATCTAAGGGAGTCAGTGCTGGCTGTGGTGGTGGAGGATGACGGCGGCCACGTCCACGACCACACTGTTGAAGCTGCTGTGTAAAACTTAAAACTGGAGACATGGCAGATGCTGGTGGTGCAGATGGTGCAGGTGGCGGTGGAGGTTGTTGTTGGTGTTGGAGATGATGATGAGCATGAGCCTCACGGGGTGTGGGAGCTCTGGGGCCACCTGAAGAGCGAGTGGAGGTAGTGAGATTGCCAGAGGACTTGGAAGAAGAATGTTGTCCAAGAGAAGCTACCGAGCGACGTTTTTCAAATGTAGATTCAGGGGATTCAGCTGGTGAAGCTGCAAGGCCTGGACACAATAAAGCTGAGCAAGGTTTAGTTTCTGCTGTTGAGCTTGATCCCACTGAAGAGGAAGCTGCCATTCCCCATGGAACACCGCCCTGTTGTTGCTGTACAGCCATACTCTCCTCTAGCATGCGAGCAAGATGGATATGACCACCTTTCAGTGCTACTTTAATGGCAGTTCGACCACAACGATCAGAATGTGCTGGATTTGCACCATATTGAAGAAGAGCTGCAACACTTTCTTCATGACCTTCTTGTGCAGCAATACTTAAAGCTGTAGCACCTTGTGAGCAAGTGTGGTCTACTGTGGCACCACGTTCCAGCAGCAATCTTACTACCTCTGCATGACCTTGCCAAGCAGCACTTTGTAATGGTGTTCGACGTTCCCGGTCAACGGCATCAACATGAGCACCACCGTCCAGTAAGAGAGCAACCATTCGGGTGTGACCCTGCCATGCTGTGACATGTAGAGGTGTACGACCTTCAAGATCAGTACTCTCAACGTCTGCATTGTTTTCCATTAAGAATTTTGCCATATCAAGTCGATTTTCAAGAGCAAGAAGGTAAAGTGTGGAGCGTCCATCAGCATCTTTGTAGTGAAGATCAGCACCTCGACACAACAAGAGATGTACAACATCTTTATGTCCCTCCAGTGCTGCTACACGCAAAGCAGAACGTCCATCATGACTTGTATGATGAATATCTGCTCCAGCATCTAAGAGGGCTGCTACCACTGCTGTGTGGCCCTCTTGTGCAGCCAAGACTAATGCATGCTTTCCGTCATTATCCACTTCATTAACACGTGCACCAGCTTCCAAGAGGGCTTCGCACACACCACAGTGGCCTTCAAATGCCGCATAATGTAACGGTGTCCAGCCTGCATTATCTCTATGGGTTTCATCTAAGCCTCTGTCAAGTAATAATCGTACAGTCTCCTGAAAAAATTAGCAGTAACAGTTAAAAAATAAACCAATGAAAGTTGAGCACTTATGCCCCACTCAATCCTTTCCTTAAATCAATTTGGATTACCTCGCATTGCTCGGGTGTTAAATTGCACTTAATTATTTAGCACTTCCTCAGGTTCACACAGAAACAAATTAACAACAAAAAACTCTAATATAGCACTAAAATACAAATAAAAAAATTAAGTGGCTTAACAGATATAGCTGTATGGCCCTTGTTGGTTTAGCACTTTTTGATTATAATAATAATATTTAACCCTTAAACGGTCCAAACGTATATATACGTTCACACGTGTAGCGCCCCAAACGTATATATACGTTTTCTGTTATTCATTCAACATTGCCACAATAAGCCTGAGTCACCTAGACATGAGAGAATGGGTGTGTGCACTCACTGTGTTCCATATTAAAATAATTGGGGATGCCTGGGTACCATATGCTCTTTTTTCCTTTTAAAAGAAAAGATTTTTTTTTTCCTCAAAAAATTTGGAGCGCCACGCGAGTGAACGTATATATACGTTTGGGCCGTTTAAGGGGTAACAGATATAGAAAAGAATCTGAACAAATTCTTATTGCTGAAGAATATTTAAGAAGTCATTCACCAGGTAACCGTTCTTCATAATCTTTCAAAATTTCAGATCTATTTTATAGCTGTTAGGAAACAAGTTTGGTATATATGTGTGATCTAAATGAAAAAAACTGATATTCCATTACCAGTTTCAAGAGTTTTTCTACTCTGGCATGCTGCTTGCAGCTTACAAAAACAGTGGCACACAGCTCTTATTGTAGTGCTCTTAAGTGGTGATATCCAAATTAATCCAGGACCTCAAACTATTGTGCAGAGGCAAAACAGACAGATAAATGACGGTGATAATGACGGTATAGTAGCTAGGAATGATAACCTTAACTCCATATGTAATGCATACATAGGTCAATGTGAGACAATACAGCCATTATTATCTCAAACACTACCAAACAGGTACATACACTGTACTAAGGTATGCATGAAAAACAGAAAAGGCACCTTATGTAAAATGTGTAAGGGGTGGGTGCATGATGGATGTATGTACAATTATAGCAACAGTGCCAAAATTAATTTTGTTTGTAACAAATGCACTTTGGCACAGTTACCCTTTAGCAATGAAGACATTGATTTACCTAATTTTAATACAAATGACCCATTGCCATATATTGATGATTATAATTGTTTTATGAAAACAGGCCTTCACTTTATTCATGTCAACGCAAGATCACTTCTTCCTAAATTGGCAGAGATTAGGATTCTAGCTAACAAAATTAGGGCGGCAGTTATAACCATCTCTGAATCCTGGTTGAATGATACAGTGACTGACGACGAGGTCAAAATAGAAGGTTACAATATAAAACGCTTAGATAGGAACAGAAAGGGTGGTGGAGTATGTGCCTACATTAGAAATGACTTAGCTTACAACCCAAGACCTGATTTAAATAACAATAAACTGGAGATCCTATGGTTTGAAGTGCTGCTTCCCAAGACCAAACCCATCTTAGTAGGAACTAGTTACCACCCTCCTACCCAGGACCAGTTCTTAGAAGACTTTTCCAGAGTATTGTCCGGACTTGAAAACAATTGCGAGACAATAATACTGGGCAACTTCAATATCTGTTTTCAGCAGCAAAATAACGGGCTATGCAAAAGGTATAAGCAAATTCTAGGTTTAAATAGTTACACTCAACTAATTAATATACCAACCCGGATCACACAGTTCTCAGCACCTAATTGCCCAAACATACTTTGTAACCGCGCTGAGAACATTAGTCAGTCGGCGTCATTACCAAAGTCTTAGTGATCATTTCATCATTTACTGCACCAGGAAAATCACTAGGGATAGGATATGGCCTACACAGGACAATAAAAGTGAGGTAACTATAAACTACAGTAAAGAAACAGGGTTTAAATAGGCTACACAATTGTGACTGGACAAAAGATAACAAGTTGCACGGATGTAAACGATGCCTGGGAAAAATTCAAAACAATGTTCACTGCCATCCTTGATAATATTGCATCAGTTAAAGAGGTTGGGATTAAACGAAAACTAAACCCCTGGATGATACTGAGATATTAGATAATATGAAATTCAGAGACCAGCTGCTAAAAAGATTTAAAGCAAACAGACAGGATATTGCAGCACTAAATGAATTCCAAAGGGTGAGGAACAGAGTACAGAGACTTATAAGGAGCAAAGGTAAAGCACTATTGCTCAAAAACTGAAGAGTATAAGCATAACCCCAGAAAGCTCTGGCAACAACCAAAAACAGTTGGGGGGTATAGCCATAAGCCAGTAGATAGGTCTAACATAGTACTCACTATCGATAATGAGGTATGCCACGAAACATCTAAGGTGGCAAATTGCTTTAATTCCTACTACACATCTGTTGCATCAACACTAGTAAGCAAACTACCAGCTGCATCAAATACCTATAACACAGACTCTGATAAGTTTCAAACATACTATCCAATAAGGGGTAACCCAAATAGTTGTAAAACTAGTAAGTGTATCTCATGACTTTTTCAAAAAGAACTAAGCAGGTTAAACCCAACTAAGAGCACGGGCCCCTGATAACATCCGTCTAATTTCCCTAAAAGATGGTGCTTCTGAACTGTCAATCCCTATTGCTCACATAATAAATCTATCAATCACCACTAATACTGTACTAGAGGGGTTCAAAGAGGCCAGAGTTACTCCTATCTTAAAGAAAAATAGTAGGTCTGATGTCAGCAACTATAGGCCTGTTAGTATATCAGTATATCTAAAATTCTAGAGGGGCGGGTGTACTCTCAAGTAGTTAAGTACCTTAATGACAACAACATTCTCCATAGCTATCAATCGGGCTTTAGAGATCCTATCAACCGACACCTCCCAAATTAATCTGATGGATTACCTGAGAACTGAAATGTAAAAGGGGGAAAACCTCATAGGTATGGTAACCTTAGATCTGCAAAAGGCCTTCGATACTGTCAACCCAATATATTATGTAAAAAACTTCAAGCTATTGGTATAGGTTCTGTAGACTGGTTTAAGTCCTACCTTAGCAACAGGAGACAAATAGTCAAAATCAACAAAACGAAATCAGAACCCTTGCCGATAACATGTGGAGTTCCCCAAGGTAGTATTCTGGGTCCCTTATTATTCTTATGTTATGTCAATGATATGCCTATCAGTGTCAAGTGCAAACTCCTACTGTATGCAGATGACAGTGCCCTGTTAGTGTCAGGTAAAGATCCACAAGATATAGCTAATATTTTAACACTGGAACTGGAGTCCTGCAGCAAATGGTTAGTAGACAACAAACTATCATTACACCTCGGGAAAACTGAAGCCATTCTCTTTGGCACGAAACATAAACTGAGAAGGGTAAATAATTTTAATGTTCAGTGTAATGAAACCAAAGTGATGGTTTCTTCAGTAAAATATCTGGGAATCCCCTTTGACTCATGCATGTCAGGAGAATTGATAGGGAACAGTGTAGTAAAGAAAGCGAATGCCAGACTGAAGTTCCTGTATAGACAAGCACAGTGTCTACCTACTGAGGCTTGCAAGACCCTATGTCTAGCCCTTATACAATGCCATATGGATTACACTTGCTCTTCATGGTACTCTGCCTTGACAAAAAACTGAAAGATAGACTGCAAATCACCCAGAACAAAATCGTAAGATTCATCCTGGGGCTGGGACCAAGAGAACATGTAGGCCAGGATGAATTACAGCAGTTGGATATGCTGAATGTTGAAGACAGAGTAAAACAACTGAAGCTAAATCATGTTTATAAAATTGCTCACAAACAGTGTCCAGAATATCTTGCTGTCAATTTTGTCAAGGTTGGGAACCAAAGCAATCATAGTACTAGGGGGAGAGAGCACAACTTCAAACACCTTTTATTGTACAGCAATAAAGGAATGGAACAGACTACCTGCACATGTCAAAGCCAGTCACAGCATGAACCAGTTCAAGAAGAGTGCCAAAAGGTGTCTGATGAATGTAGCTACAGAAAGGGAGGGGAATGATTTTCTATTTTTTAGCTAACATACGTGTAAATTTTACCTTATTCCTAGTAATGACCCTCGTATTGTGGATAGTCTTAATGACCCTCGTGTAGTAGATAGTCTTTTTAGTATAACAATAAAATGTTATCTTCATTATAGAATAATAAGAAAATATTATAACCTTTATATTATAATAATAAGGTAAAAGGACCCCAATGGAAATAAGTCACTGTCTGACTTTTTTGGGTTATCCCAGGTTCTCTACACATGTGCTGCTATGTATGATAATTCTATGTAACTGTATTTGTGTATACCTGAATAAACTTACTTATAATATGACAACCAGATATCACCTGCAGGAACTTAGTGTCCTTAGACATTAGTCCTATCACACCTCTGCTATAGGGCCAACAATACTGAGAGGGGGTTATTTTATACCTGTGACTGGTTTCGAGAGTTTTCCTACTCCTACAGGCAGGCCATGTGCCAGGCAATTGCCTGTGTCAATTTCTTTCCCTGATGAATATAGTAAAAAAACAGGATAGTAGGTGTACAGAACTTGCTCATATATCTCACCCATCCTGGGAATCAAGTCTAGCTTGTTTTCAGTGTTAGCCAAAACACATTAACTATGAGCCAGTGGCATACCCAACATGTCTCCTTACCAGATACTCAAAGAAAATTTAAATCTTGTACCTAATAGTGCAATTACCAAAGAACTACTACAAAAATTTTAACAATTTATGTTGCATGGATACAATAGTACAGTAATGAGTATTATTATAAATGAAAACAACCCTAAATCCATTGTCATGTGATATGTGCATAAAACAAATTTAATAATAATGTGTAGTTCTATAAAGTTCATGTGAAGTGGTAAATCTGTGCAAGTCATTTAGCATATCTGCTAGGTGTGAAACATACTACCTAACTGTACAGTTATACAACATGACTCACCTGTGAACCTTGGGCAGCAGCAACACTGAGAACAGTGCGTCCCTCAGCATCTATATGATCAACATAGCAACCCCAGAACAGAAGACGCTCCACAACTGCTGCATGACCCATCGATGCAGCGGCTAGCAGAGGAGTTCGCCCAGAGTGATCAACGTGATCCACATCTCCTTCATATTCTAGCAATAATTCACACACTTCTCTGTGAAAGACACAATTCTGTAGCAACAATATTTATTAATGAATAAGAGTTTACCTGCCTATAATTACATACACAAATTAGGTCCTGATCAGCCAGGCTGTGCCTATGCTGGCCTGTGTGGGTAGCACCAAGAGCCTTGTTTGGAACTGTCTTCAAATAAAGTTCTGGTAACCTACACAAATGAATTCATAGCTAATTCAAAAACTGAAAATGAAAAGCCTAAATATTCTGGCTCGTCCTCTACTATTATCATGGAGAATATAATCATTTCCAATTTGTGTAGGTTAGTTTTCAATTGTTTCAGGAACAGTATTGTGACTTTTTGTACACAAATGAAATAACCATAGATTTTTAATTTCACTGTATACTATAACTAATTCTTATTATAGATGCTCCCTACTTTATCTGATAATCTTATAAATGTGCTCATATGCTTAGCTGTAAAGTGTCAGCAGATCTAAATGGCATATTGGCGACAATAGTGAAGCAAAGACATGTTGCAGAACAAGCTTTCATTGGGGAACCTTGTCGCAGGTTCCTCCTGAGGGAAGGAGCTATAGTGAGAGCATAAAGAATACTAAGTCTTGAAAAGCCTCACCAAAGCTTAGAGGTATTATGCTAATCCTGTAAGTATATTTCACTATATGGAGTGGTCTGTATTTTCTCAGCCTTCCCTGAAAGAGATAATCACATTCTTCCTTTAAAATCAGGGTTGATATCCTAGTACTCAATAATAGGACTAAATTTAGACTAATTGAATACAAATATTAATAAAAAATCTTGCATTCCCTTTTATTGTGGTTTGACGTTATCCCTAAAAATAATTACACTAAATGATTAAGTGGTATTGTCCTAAAAAGTTAATCTAATTTTTACTTAATGGTAAGATGGCTTTTGCACACTCCTTGGCATCTTAAGTAGATTTCAGAAGTGTTGATCCTAAATTTGCCATTTACTAAGTGGGTGGCCTCTTAAGTGGCAGTAACTAAGTACCTAATCACACAATTATTCTGCCAAAGCAATGGGTGTCACGTTCACTCTCAGTCCCCCACAGTATGACATAAGACGTAGAATGGAAAACAGGAATTAAGGGGGATATAAAAAAAAAAGTGTTGAAAATATCTAACCAAAACAAAACTCACAGATATGGACTGAAGTTGGAGAAATTCACATTTAAAAGGATATTGAGAAGTACTGATTTGGCAAGAGAGCTTTACATAAATGGACTGTATAGTCCTTGTGGCTTAGCGCTCCACAAACTCTGATGATACTTTTCGCACTCCCCTCAGCCCTTTCTGGTTCAGTCTCTTGCTGCCCTTTACCCTTTCACCATCCACTGCCCCGCTGTTATCCGTAACCTGTTGCTCATCCATCTCCCTTTTGCCACCTGATGCCCTCACTTCCTTCCTGCCCTGCAGCGCTGTATAGTCCTTGTGGCTTAGCGCTTCTTTTTGATTATAATAATAATAATTAGCGCTTCTTTTTGATTATAATAATAATAATTTACATAAATGGAACAAACTTCCAGGTAGTATCACTGAGGCAAGAACTATAGGATGATGAATATGACAGGTGCAACACTTAGGAACCTTCACTGCCGAAAAGTTTCGCCTATGCAGCAACTTCTTCAGTGCATGAATTGGAGAAGTAATTTCTGGTGTTCAGTTCCTCTACATTTGACTGAAGAAGCCTGCCGTGGAGGCGAAACATCTCGGTAATACAGATACCCAAATACTGAACGTATCTCATTCATCTACCCTGCGATAAGTAAAGCAACATTTTGCCCTGTGGTAGAGGAATATAGTTTAATACACTGTTATCCAAAGCTAGACACTGTACCTAAGAACTAAAGTACTGTACTTACGTATGACCCTCGAAGGCTGCAACGAGGAGTGGAGTGAGACCATCGTGGTCCTGGTGGTTGACCTTAGCACCCAGCTCCAGCAGTGTGGTCACCACACTTGTGTGACCCTCACTGGCTGGCACACACAAAGCCGCCACACTCAGAGCTGTTCTACCATCAACATCTTCGTGATTCACGTCAGCGCCAGCTTCCAGCAGAGCCTCCACAATCTCTGAGTGTCCCATGTATGCTGCAGCAATGAGGGGCGTGCGACCCTCGCTGTCAGCTCGATTGACAGCAGCACCATGACGTAAGAGAGCTGATACAACGTCTTCGTGACCACCCCAGGCGGCAGCTCTTAACGCTGTGCGACCGTCTCCATCGGCTAAATCCACCTGGGTGCCACCAGCCAGTAGGGCATTCACCACCCCACTGTGACCGCCCCACGCTGCTGATCTTAGTGCCGTCCAGCCGTCAGCATCAGCATGATCAGCGTCAGCACCGGCTGCCAGTAAGACAGCTACCACCTCAGCGTGGCCGTGACGCGCTGCTAAATTTAATGGCGTCTGTCCAGCTCTATCCTGGAGGCCATGGAAGGCACCTCGCTCCAGCAGAAGACGCACGAGTGACGCATCACCTTGGTGAGAGGCGCTGTGCAGCAGAGAGCGACCAGCACTATCAACTTGGTCTACAGGACCACCGCGCAGGTATGGGTATAGGGGGTCTTCCCTGTGTCGCCGTCTGCGTCGCTCCCGTCGTCTGCTACTGCTGTTGCTGTGGTCACTGCTATGGCGTCCTCCGGTACTGCTATGACGACCACCTGTACTCTGTCTCCCCCCTGTACTCTGACGACCACCAGTGCTCTGTCGTCCACTCGTACTCTGACGCCCTCCGGTACTATGTCGACCATTCGTACTAACACCTCCCTCTGTACTCCGCCTACCACCCGTGCTACCATTGACAATCTCTCCTGGGAGAGGCACCATAGTTACGTATTCATCATCTTTTTCATTTTCATTGTCACTTTTTTCACCTGCCTCTTTTAGGTCCATTTTCAATTTCTCCTCCTCATCGTCTTTTTCTTTATCTTCGTTGGCAGACTTTTCCTTAATAAGCATATTATCTATATCACATATTATTTGATCAGTTTTATCTGGATACACTATTCCCTCGGCCTCCTGGTCCTGAGGCAACTTTTCTGGCACATCGAGCACTTCATTCTCACCTTCCGCGACCTCATCTTCCTGCTCTAATTCCTCATACTTGATATCAGTGGCTGGTGCTTCCTCCTCCTCCTCCTCCTCTCCACCTTCCTCTACCTCGTCTTCTTCGTCTTCTTCATCATCATCCTCATCTTCATCTTCGTCCTCATCATCTTGTGGATGGTCGTCAGGTAGAGTAGCACCAGCTTCCTGAAGTATTTTCAATGCGCGGGGATCTCTGGGAGGCGGCAGGTCATGGCAGATGTTCAGAGGAACGCCACACGATACCATCCATAAAGGCAGATGGTACTGTTCCAGGGGTGGCTCTAGGTGGATGCGTGAGAGGTGAAGAGCCAGTTGGTGCACCTGAGTTACTGTTAGTGTTGGCGCGTCCACGGAGAGACGCATGGCCAACATGGCGTGCCCGTCAGCAACATCTACCAAATATTTCTGAGTGCAGTGTTTGACATCAAGCAGCCATTCTGCGAAGCTGTGGTGGAAGAGGAGGACCCGCTGGTCGTGTTCGACTGACAAGACACGGGTTAAGAGGGACCACCGCTTGCCCCAGTCTTCGTCTGAGAGTGTGGGAATACGAGTCTCCACAGCCAGCCGCAATTCTTCCTTGGTGAGAGGCGCGCGAGCAGCCAAAATGACAGACAGCAAGGGTACTACACGCTGGAAGTGCCTCCGGGGATACAGCCTTTGACACAGCCACAAGTAGAGACCATTGAGCGTGCCGGGAATGTGTCTGATCTCACGTAACGTGACCCAGCCTTCGGCTACACCGTCTAACACACGCTCCAGGTAGAGGAAGCACCCATTGCTCTTAATGTGTAGCTGGTTCAGCATTTCTGCCGTCTCACGAGAGAGGTGGTGCCTGAGGGCGGGCTCGCGGTCCAGGCGACACAGAATGTACTGCTGCACATCGCGGACCACGTGACCGCGACGCAGGTCATCTAGTGCCACTTTCCTGAAGCCCGCAAACTGCCTGATGATGGTGCGAGAGCCTCGTCGCGCCGTTACCAGCAGCAGCAGCCACTGAGGAAGCAGGTGGTGATGTGTGGCCAGTAACTCAGCGATAGTGCGCGAGGGACCATTGTTACTAACTTCGGTGTTACTACCCTCACGAGGGGCGCCTGTCAGCGCCGGCTGCAGATCCGTCTCATCTATACTGTCCACCACCAGCAGAAGGGTGCGATCTGGCGGGTCAAGTTCCAGCAGGGGAAAAAGCACAGCTCGCCGGAATGCTTCATCAGGGTTCGAGTGTAGCGTGCAAGGTTCCAGAGCATTACGCACCTCAGCCTCCACCACCTTGGTGCCATACCCAGCCAGGAGGGAAGACTCTCCCACCTGCGTCACCAGCGACTGGATGAAGCAGCCCACGCTGAGGGAGGCGGCGTCGTGGGCGTGGCAGAAGTGGTGTGCCACCAGGCGGGCCTGAAGGGCAGTGGCATGACGGCCGTGTGATGCCGACGGTGTCACCAGCTCGGTGCAGAGGGCGGTTTTGCCCGTCCCGGGGCCGCCCACCAGTAGGGCCCCACAGGTCTTGGCTGCGGGCCTCTGCTCCAGGCACGCCCACAGTTTGGCCCACGCCCACTCGCGGCACAAGAAGCGCCGCCCCGGCACGCCATCAGCAGCCATGGCGGCGGTGGCGGGTGAGGGGCGGGGCTCAGGGCACGTCCAGGGGAAGACTCATCCTGGCCCACACCCGACACCGCCCTCACCCACAACGACCACCCATCACCACCTGAAACAACACAATAGTAACATTACTGTAGTCCTTCATTTAGGTTACACATCTGCACTACTGTAACCTTCAATCTACTGTCCTCTCACACTACAAGGACCCCAATAGAAAGAGTCACTTTTTGGGTTATCCTTTGTTTGGGTTATAATTGTACCTATATGTACATGTGCCTAAATAAACTTATACGCAGGAGTAAAATGATCGGGCCTTGGAGGCGTGAAATCAGTATATAAAAAATGAAAGTCGGGGGCAGGAGCTATGACTTCACCCCTGTAAACACACTGAAAACATATATGGTTGGTTTATGCAACGCTAGAATTACACAACTACTCAATTCATACCTGATAATAGTAACTTGAAAACATTCCTGTTCGTTCATAAAAAAGAATTTAACAACAGGGTTTTGCTTTGATGCTGTTTAAAGGCTCTTGATCCAAGGAATTGAAGCTACCATCCTCTTCCTTGGGCCAACTCATCCCCCATTCCTTAACACTACATGACCCCCAGAGTTCAGCGCTAACCCACGAATAATAATAATTGTGGAAATTGTTTTACATGATTTTCCTAAAGGTAGAACATATAAATTAATAATATAATAATTGAATATTAAAATGTGATGCTATTTGGACCCTTCGAGAAATTTTAAGTGAAGGAGGGTGTGGAAGAGCTGGAGAGTGACATGGACGGGAGACGCCATATTGAATTTAATGAATGAACACTGGACTTAATTGTGTATTGTAATTCAGTGTCTTCCGAGGCCAAATTGGGGTGTTTTGGCTTGAATTTGTAATAGGAACCCATGTTAATGTTTCCTGCTGAAGAATTGGGACAGGAAATTTGCAGGACCTCAAGAATTGCGTGTGGAAGGAAAAATAAAGGACTTTAATGAGCCCTTCTCAACAACACAACTTAGTTAAGTGACGTTTACCCATAATGTACTGAAGTTTTTGCGTTGGCCACTTTAAATCCTAGCTGTTAGGGTATAGTTAGGATGTGTTCCATCAGTATTGAGTGTCTTCCAGTAATTAAAAGGTAAGTGTTAATACCAATTTCTTTTGTGTCCACAACAAGCCTAATCATATAGTCCACACAACTTTAATTTACTAGAGTAGCTGATTTTAATATTATAATTATTAATTTAATGCCAGGTCTAGCTTTTTGTGAGAGTGGTGATGAAGTGGGCATCGAGGGAGGGACAGTTCAGTAACCTACTGTGATAAAGTCCCACTTACCTCACCCAAATTACTTGCCTGTAATAATTCAGGTAATACCATGTAAACCTCATGCAGGTGATTTCCTCACATAATAATAATTTTCACAATAATAATAAAATAAATGCTAATTAATGACTTACGATAATAAAAAGCAGCTTAGTGTTTAGAAGTGTCAATAACAGGAGGTGTGGAGAAAGAAGTACCAATACATGATAATGGGGTCTGTGTGGGATATACTAGAATAAACCATACTTACACACTATGGCGGGTTAAATATTGGTGAGCCTAGTGTTAACAATCTAACTAGGCTGTTACCAGGAGGCCTAGTCTGAAACCACCATCAACAAGTAGACAATGTTAAGGTACGCCTCTTCCTATCCAATTTTATTGTCTCGTTTTAAAAATTCTTCAACGATAGGATAGAGTTTACAAGGAGGAACATCCAGCAGATGACGTAACCTCAGAGGTAATGCATAGTGAAATAAACGTTTTTAGTGACGAGTCAGTGCTTAGTTCTTCCTCCACTTCCACAGAACGAGAGTTCCAGTAACTAATGATTATTCTATATACTAGCATTGTTCCATAAATTTGTATTATATTTATATTCTTCCATATTTCTTCTCCCACACCGGCCGTCTGCCAACAAGGTAAGATGATCCAAAAAATAAAAGGAAATATTTTCCATCGTTCATTCAATAGCTGTCTTGCCAGAAATTTACAGATATGATGATTTATAAAAAAAAAAAATGCCGTAAATGGAACAAGACAAATAACCCGCACATAGGAGAAAGAAACTTACGACGACGTTTCGGTCTGACTTGGACCATTAATTATTTGTAAATGATGATCTATAATTCTAATCACGTATTACTGTGCAGTATTCCAGAGATTTATAGTCATTTTAAACTAGGCGGGATGATTCCGTAGAATGTTGTACTTAAACAACCAACCCCTTTATTATTAATTATTAAATTAAAAATATCTCTGGAGATATGCCGAAGTACAGATTAAATGTTATTGGGTGTGGGATAACCTTGGTCGGTCATATAGTGATCGAATTTATCTGAGTTTGCATTTAGTGTTGTCAGCTGTTACAGAGTTAGCGTTGTGATACTAGATTACACGAGTACCATTCCTTCCCCCCCCCCCCCCAACCAAGCAATTATCTTACCTCGGCTCATTTCATAAACCCGACATGTAGGACACGACCCTCAAACACTTTACTTATACCCAGGTACCTATTTACTGCTAGGTGAAATGGAACAGCAGGGCTAAGGCAACCTATCCATACGTCTCGCCCTGCCCAGGAATCTAGCCCGGATCCATTAGGTTGTGGGCAGAATATACTATCATCCAACATGCATGAGTATTGAATAACTTTGAAAAATAGCGGCCTGCATCTGGTCTTAGTTTTACCACAGCTACAGGAAATACACTTATATAAAGATGACGAAAGTGATGCAACAATATCGTTTGTGTTTACTAACGTATGACATTATGCAGCGACACAACGTTGCCAGGTCCTGTTCAACGTTCCCGCCTCATTTTCGGACGTTCTAAAACGTTACCCAGACCTGCAACTTTCCCGAGATATTAAACGTTCACATAACCTTAAATATTCGCAAAACCTTAAACTTTCCCGAGACTAAGTCCCGGGCCTTAAACATTCCATGGTCCTTAAAACATTCTTGGGACTTCAAACACTCCAGAATCTGAAACGTTTCAAGGACCTTCTTAAACTCGCCAGGGACATCCTTACATGATCCAAGGACCTCCACACTCTCCAGAGACCTTACACACTCCAGGACCTCCTCATCCTCCACGGACCTTACACACTCCAGGACCTCCTCGTCCTCTACGGACCTCCTTACACACTCCAGGACCTCTTCATCCTCCAGGGACCTCCTTACACACTCCAGAACCTCCTCATCCTCCAGGGACCTCCTTACACACTCCAGAACCTCCTCATCCACCAGGGACCTCCTTACACACTCCAGGACCTCCTTACACACTCCAGGATCTCATCATCCTCTAGGGACCTCCTTACACACTCCAGGATCTCATCATCCTCTAGGGACCTTACACACTCCAGGAGCTCATCATCCTCTAGGGACCTCCTTACACACCCCAGGACCTCCTCATCCTCCAGGGACCTCCTTACATACCCCAGGACCACCTCATCCTCCAGGGACCTCCTTACACACCCCAGGACCTCCTCATTCTCCAGGGACCTCCTCATCCTCCAGGGACCTCCTTACACCCCCAGGACCTCCTCATCCTCCAGGGACCTCCTTACACACTCCAGGACCTTCTCATCCTCCAGGGACCTCCTTGCACACCCTAGAACCTCATCTTCCAGGGACCTCCTTACACGCTCCAGGACCTCCTCATCCTCCAGGGACCTCCTTACACACCCCAAGACCTCATCCTCCAGGGACTTCCTCAGCCCCCTAGCTAAAAAAATATATATATGCATAAAATTACAATTTCCGGTAAAATCCACAACAAAAGGCTTAATTAATGACGGGAAAATAAATGGAGGTTTGACGTGGCGCGGGTATTAACCAGGTGTGTGTGTGTTTAAAGTGCGCGCCGCCACTCCAACGCCTCCCTCATCCATTATTCAAGACGACCCATCAATGGAAGCACACTGACCCGGATGCAAATTGAGTACACAAATAGAAAATCAATATAGCACGGGTATGTCAAATAGAACAGGGCATAAATTTATGGAATTCTGGGAATCGGTTGTTTTCTGTACGTGAAGGGGCTGGACTGTGGGTGGACGGAGAGTGGATGATAGCAGGTTAGAAGATGGCAGCACTGCGTACATGACACTTTTTTTTATTATTCTGCATTGGTCTTGGGCACAATGATAATATAATGTTGTTGGGTGTGAACGAATGTCTGAACGAGAAAGCCGTTGGTGGGGGAGGCAACAGATGTGACATAAGGTCGAGAAGTAGAGGAAGGAGGAGGTAGAACTATGAGTGCAGGCAGACGTAGGCTGTTAGCTAGCTCCCCCCCCCCCCTCACTTCCCTTCTCTCGAGGTCAAAAAATTAGGGAAAGGGGAGAAAAGACCGGAAACGGAATACAGACTGAGAGGGTCTACAAGTATCGACAACGACGGAAATAAAAATGGAAGTAAACACTGGGTAATAGTTTATGACAGCTACTCGGCCAATTTCAACATAAATTATAGATGGAATTGCAAAATATTAATTTGATTTTGCAGCTGAGATAGTATTTTGTTGAGCAAATATTAGGTTAGGTTAGGTAAGGTTCGTCAGGAAACAGGACAAATGTTTCCTGACGCGGGTCTTAGTCAGATGATGACCCGCCTTTGGAGCTTTTGGTCATCTGACCGAGGCCTTCCGCTGGCTTACCGGTCCACCCCTTTAAAAATTATGGTCATTTATAACCATTTTGTTTTTTTTTTTGAGCAAATATTAAAAAAATATGTAGCCTAACCTAACATATTCTAACTTCCTCCACTGGTTTTGCGGGCCCTTTTTTTTTACATTCTGTCAGACACGTGACACGGCTCAATATTAAACGTTAGACCTAAGAACATGTAGAGCAAGTTTAATTAAAGCCCCCATTTGATCACGCATGTTCAAGAGTTTGAAAAGGTGCAAAGGTTTGCAACCAGAATAGTGCAGAGTTGTTTGTGCCCTCAAAACAATTGTACAAATTTAAACTTCTACCCGGAAAAAACTTAAAGGTTGTCCTAAATTTTAACTCAGTGAATACCTTGACTGTTGCTGACGAGGTGTACACCACCTGCAGCCTGGCATCACATCAACACCCACACAACCCACCACACCTGAAAATACAAAATAAACGTCTATTAGAGGGTTACATGATGGGGAACCACTGTAATGTGTGGTATGAAATTCTCCATGAGTTATACAGTAGGAACATACGCAGTGTTTTTGACTTGGTTTTTATTCACAAAAACGCTAGAACCGTTTAGTAATTTAGCGCTTTTAAATTTATTCCATTTCTAACATAATGAAAGGGACACTATGACAAATTAATCTCATTATATAAATCATAATCACAAAGCAAGTTAAATTGTTCTAATTATTTTTTCACATTCCGCAATCTATATACAGTGGAGTCTCTGGTCACGAAGGCTTCCGAACACGAACAAATCGGTTCACGACCAGAAAATTTGCCAAATTTTTGCATCTGGTCATGAACATATAATCGGGTGCCGAACAAACACAGTCGCGCCAATTTTCACATTCTGCACAATTTTTTTTTTTTTTGCACACGCCAATTTTCCCCACTTCCTGCTGTTTGTGTACACCTAACAAAGACCCTCGCTTTGTAGTCGGTCTTGGTCACACGTGCGTTTATTTGATGTGAACTCGAGGATAAGGGATAAAGTATTATCCTCTTATTCCCTCCTGGGTACTTATATTAGACAAAACGTAGTGTAGCTTATTCAGGTATACACAAATATAGTTACATAAATTATCATACATAGCAGTATATGTGTAGAGAACCTAGCATAACCCAAAAAAGTTAGAATGACTTATTTTCTCTTATTTTTTTTTTCCGGTGCGCACTCATTTTCGTCGATTATCTAAACGTGGATAATGTATAATGGAAAGATGCTTCTTAACGTACACCAAAAATGAAAAAAAATCGGACAATAAATAATGGAGTTCGTTTCTCAGCCATTAAAAGTCTCTTAAAACTCTTAAAAAAAAAGACTGTTTACAGCTAACGGTTCGTAGGGGTCTAGAAAAGATTCATGCAATGTTAGTTTTTTCTGTTGTTCACGGTTTTCTCAGTGTTATTCAAGGTTTTTACATTTAATTTACTATTACACTGTGCATTCTATGATATAATTAACTATTTTTGTGCCTAAAAATCTTAAAAAACAATATTTGCATACAGTTCGTAGGGGTCTGGAATGGATTAATCGCATTTACATACAATCCAATGGGGAAATTAGGTTCGGGTCACGACCAGAGTTTTGGAAAAAAATATGGTCGTGACCAGAGGTTCCACTGTACATAATTCGTTCTGTGTCAGCGGCACTGTCAGCAAATTTCAACAAATGAGGAAATATCTCCACCATTTACGACAAAAAAAAAGATAATGGGTTCTTAATAAGGTAAGCGCACTATGGAAAGAGTGACACTCTTCCTAGAGAGGAGGACCTAGGCACAAATCACTAAAGCCCCATTAACGCGCTATGGTGACCCAGCATCGGAGGAACATGCAGTGTGTGACTACCATATTCTACATGTTACATAATGGACGACAAGCAGTGTCCTGTTCCCCACCTGTATACTAGTTACATAGTGTAGACTAAATCCGGAAAACGTACAGAGGAGGATGACAAGTTGATCCCATGTATCAGAAATCTTCCCTATGAGGATAGACTGAGGGCCCTGAATCTGCTCTCTCTCGAAAGGCGTAGAATTAGGGATGATATGATCGAGGTGTATAAATGGAAAACAGGAATAAATAAAGGGGATGTAAATAGCGTGCTGAAAATTTCCAGCCAAGACAGGACTCGCAGCAATGGTTTCAAGTTGGAAAAATTCAGATTCAGGAAGGATATAGTTAAGTACTGGTTTGGTAATAGAGTTGTGGATGAGTGGAACAAACTCCCCAGTACAGTTATAGAGGTTAAAACGTTGTGTAGTTTTAAAAATAGGTTAGATAAATACATGAGTGGGTGTGGGTGGGTGTGAGTTGGACCTGACTAGCTTGTGCTACTAGGTCTGATGCCGTGTTCCTTCCTTAAGTGGAAGTGACTTGCCTAGGTGGGTCATTGGGCTTATCCGGGGGGGGGGGGGGGGACATGGACCTGCTTCGCGTGGGTTGGTGGGCCTGCTTCGGTGTTCCTTCTTTCTTGTGTTCTTATGTTCTTATGAGTGGGTGTGAAATGGACCTGACTAGCTACTAGGTCGGACGCAGTGCTCCTCCCTTAAGTGACATGTCTGACCTCACTAGGTCAAGGCATTGGCTTAAGCCGGTGGGGAGAATTGGAGCTGCCTCGCATAGACCAGTAGGCCTGTTGCAGTGTTCCTTATTTCTTATGATCTTATGAAGGCAAATATTCTATTAGTGGGATGGCTCTGTGAAGGACCTGCCTAGTATGGGCCAACAGGCCTGCTGCAGTGTTCCTCCTTTCTTATGTTCTTATATTTCCCTGTTATATTCCATCGCACAGGATGTGCTGTATACATGTGATAATGTAATATATGAGTTTTAGCTGCGATACTTCAGTAAGACAACAAGGACATTGTTAAGCATTCTCCAACGGTAGGTTTACCTGCAGCTTACCTGGAGTCGCTTCCGGAGGTCAAAGCCCCAGCAGTCTAGTCCCAGACAACTAGAAATTTGTTGGTAATTTCCCCTTATGCATGAAGAAAGAGTGTTGAAGAGTAGTGGTCCCATAATACTACTAGTTCTCTCTCAGTGTACTCACCGCTTCCTAGCTTTTCATTGGAGTTATCTTGCACCGTCTGCCGAGCCTCTGTGTTCATACATAATTATTTCGTTTGCAGGTTTGGTACCAATCCCTCCAGTATCTTCCAGGTGTAAATTATGATGTATATTTTTAGCTTACGTTTTAAGAAGTACAGTTTTAGGGACTTCAAGCCCTCCCAGTAATTTAGTTGCTTGTCAAGAGTTTCTATGAGCTGCCTTGAAGGAAGCCGTTAGTACACAGCAATATTCCAGCGTCGAGAGAGTGAGTGGCCTAAAGAGTATCATCACTGGCCTGACATTTTTTTGTTTTGAAGGTTCTAGTTATCCAACTTTATTATTTTTTTGCAGTTGCGATAACAACATTATTGTACTCCTTGAACACGAGATCTTCTGACATTATCACTCCCATGTTTTTCACATTTCCCTTAAGTTCTATTTAGTGATCTGAGTTTGTTGAGTACTCTAATCTTTTTATTTTCTCAATCCTTTTGTAACGTAGTAATTAAAAACTTGTCCTCATTAAACATCATATTGTTGTCAGTAGCACCCTTAAAGACTTGGTTTATATCAGCTTGAAGGCTGATATGGATGCCACTTTCATACAAAATCTAGTATCGTCTACAAAGGATGATACAGTGCTATGATTTATGTCCACAGCTATGTCATGAATGAGATAATCATGCTTCTTAAAACCCTCTAAAAATTCTTGACAATGTAGGACGTTTGAGCTATTGGTCTGTAGTTTTTGCCATTGTTTTACTACCATCTTTGTGGAGACGGATAATATCAGTGGTTTTTAATGACTGTGGGATGACTCCAGTGTCTAGGCTTCTTCTCCACAGAATATTTAGTGTACGTCATGAGGAGTTTTTGCATCAACATGAGCCCCACTTAACCATGGAGTGCGGCTCACCTGACAATTTTAGCATTTTTGTTATCATGTTATCTAGCACACCCGAACTGCTAGACAACAAGGGCCTTAACCATCTTCCCTCCATTACTGTTCTGTGATTCCCTCTAAAAAAATCCCTTTGAATACATAATAGGCTTTACATCATAATTGTTATCAATAAACAGTCATGCTCAAAGTTCCTACAGCCCCATTGTCTACCATCTATGATATCTGAAAAAATCACACAAGGATTTCTAGTCATATTCCGCACTGATTTAAAAAAAAAAAAACTGGAGACATGTGCAATGTGGGTTCAGTAGCTCTCAGGGCTTCCTTCCACTAACGTGTGTATCAACATTTTTGTGTGGGATGGTATGAACGGTGGAGGGCATAGAGGGTAGTAGGGAATGGGAGGGGGGCACAGTGACGACAATGCCAACACTCAATGCCAAGGTCGATCTTAGTGCCAACCAAGGTGCACCTTCCCCCCCCCCCCCTTCTCTCTCTCCCTAACCATCTTCCTCTCTCCCTCACCACCTTCCTCTCTCCCTCAACATCTTTCTCTTTATACAGAGTAATGAATGTAAGCAGGAGTGTACTGGCAGGGCTGCATCTACTCTTGTTGCCACCTCTCTAGATAAGAACTCTGGCAACTATGTTGAGTTAGTCATAAGAGTTGAGAACTGGGCGTCTACACTACAAACCGAATTGTCTGCCATCCTAATGGCACTCAGCTTATGACATCATTGAGAGCATTTGAATCGCAACAAGATGTTCTGTGGAGAAGCCGGGTAAAGATACTTCAAAATCAGAGAAAAGAGAATCAATGTACATTTTTTATGGATTCCATCGGACACTGAATAAGTTAATCAAAGAGAGAGTACCCTGAAGGAAAATGTAGAATATAACTTTTGGTATGTCTGTGTCTAGCATTTGGAATGAAACTGAGAAAGAAGTAAATAATATAAATGAATAACATAGGAATGCAGTTAGAAACCTGAGTAGCTCTATCACTCACTATGATAAAATAAACGTAGATAAGCATGTCTACGGAGCAACTTGTATGTGAACACACTGACTGATATTGTAGTAGCCAGACTTAAGCTTAGTTACAAGTACTTCTGACAGTTTGACACACACTGACTGATATTGTAACCAGGCTTAAGCTTAGTTACAAGTACTTCTGACAGTTTGACACACACACTGACTGATATTGTAACCAGGCTTAAGCTTAATTACAAGTACTTCTGACAGTTTGACACACACACTGACTGATATTGTAACCAGGCTTAAGCTTAATTACAAGTACTTCTGACAGTTTGACACACACACTGATATTGTAACCAGGCTTAAGCTTAGTTACAAGTACTTCTGACAGTTTGACACACACTGATATTGTAACCAGGCTTAAGCTTAGTTACAAGTACTTCTGACAGTTTGGCAGACACACACACTGATATTGTAGTAGCCAGACT